TCAAATTATAAACTGCATTTAGAGAAACCCCTAACTGGACGTTAACTATGAAGAAGGTCAGTTACTGAAGTTATGAATTCGTATCTGTTAGTACTAGTGTTGTCGTTTCCATCAGAATTCTAAAAGTGGAAATAATCTCAGAGTTTCTCATGCCACCTTGTACAACTCGCATATCTGGTAGACATGGTGGATTGATGCTATACATAACGAATTGAAAGAGGAAGCATATGTTGAACATTGATTTGCTTGTAAATACCTTGGAAGCAAAAACCATTATGTATTATTCGAGGTATAAGTGTAGTTTGTCACCTCCCTGATGCCCAAATCAAGGAAAACCTGTTACGCCTCCACGTAAACACGTCAACTTGATATACGTGAACTATTACGAGTTTACCTAGTCGGAAACGAGAGCAAGGATCCGGTGACACGACATGTTACTCAAATCCGATTATTACAACCCCCATATTTAGTTAAAATAAAAAGACATGATGTGAAGTAGAACGTGTATTATACAAGGATCCAGAAAGCACGAGGTCCGAATTCAGAAGAGAATCAGGATCCCGGACTAGGGATCCGGGACCGAGCCCTGGTCGTGGTCAATAAACGTTACAGATAATGCGTATTTATACATTTTGGTCGAATAGGAAACAGCATCGAATTGTGTGACATTGAAATTCAGGACAACCAATAAGAAACAACATTGAAGTATTTGACTTTGACAGTTATAACGACCATAATTTTGACCAATAATTCTCTTAGGATATTAGATGAATATCCTAACAAAACCTAACAAAGAAAACTATTAGTAGTGGTCTTAGCTTCGAAAAACCCTACCACTGGTGACAGAAATCCATGTTGTAATGCGTGTTGTGATACTTCTTGAGGTTGATCTTTTCTAACCCCTTTCGTTAGGCAATGATGTCTCCGCTGTAGATGCTGTTTGTCTGAGCAAGAAAACCTTGCTGGTATCACATCTGTGTACGGTCAGCAATGCAACTCAACTCTCTGACTTTAGGGTGCTACTTTTAGACCTACTGTTCCCCAGTTTGGACTTTCGGATATTTTAGTACCTAAAGAAACAAGTGTCACACTCAATCTAGGTCAACTCGTTCATTACGAAATAGAAACCAAACCACATTGTGAAAGTAGCACTGCAGTGATTTTCTCAGAATTATTATAAGAACACCATTTATTAACAAATCTAATTGATTATTATCAGTGTAATTCATCTACTTAGTTCAGAGGTTGAAAGCGAACATTTTAACCACCAAACCTTCACCATTATTGAAGCGTATTTTACTGAAAGCTCACTGATTATTCTTTTTAATATTTGAAATTGAATATTTTAAACAACGTTACATGGATGTACATATAAATCAGCACAGTTATTATTATTTGTGTTTTAAACAGATCCTCAAAATCCGAACAAATCACGATGCATTGGTGATGTGGAGTTTGAGACAGCTGTAGAAAATGCCAGTTGGATTACACCAGTTCCAGGTGGAGTTGGTCCAGTTTTCAATTGCTATGTTATTTCGTAATACTGTGAATAGTGCTAAATGGTCTGTGGGATTAAACAATTCTGTATGTTCTTGTTCAAATTATTGTGAAAGTGATATTATATCTAAACAGTATCCTGATAGAAAGGTATCTGTTTGTGAAAGGTGATAGATATCTTACTGAATCTAATCAATGAATATTGTTTCTTTTCGTCTTCTTTTTTTGTAAAATTAGATTGTAGGTTGTGCTAATTTGGCTTTTCCTTGAACAGATGCTAACTAAAGATTCTGTATAGGGCTATTTCATTATCTTATTATTGAGTAACTTATTGATATTGCAATACTGGCAAAATTAATCTTCTTTTTTAATATCACCTAATTATTATTATTACTATTATCTTCAAGTGATTATTTTAAACTTCATGGTATCAATATCTTGTGATGTATAATGTTATAGTGTGAAATAATACCATAATTATGAACAAATACATACAAACTGTTATTGTTTATATGAAATAAAAACATATCACGTTTAGTGATTTTATTGGATATTTTTAGAATGTTATATTAAAGCGTTTTACTCGATATCAGAACAGTAGTTTTCATAATTCCAAGTGTTGGCTTCGAATGTGTATGAAATTTATTGGCTAGAAAGAAATAATTATAATTGATTGATCACTGAATACCAACCAATATCATATTTGTATAGTCCTTTAGTGTTGGTAGATATTTTGTCGAGCAGGCTACATGTGTGACAACTATTCTGAGCAACTTGACTTCATCGGAACTAGGATGAGGATGTTATATGGTTGGAGGTGTGCCACTACAGAGCATCAGCTACCCAAAGATTACAGGTACATCTTGCTAACGAGTTCCAAATCGCACGAAAACTGGGTCTGGCGGTTTTTCTGTCGACTGCCTTCAACTATCTGGCATCAGAGAATAACGTCATGGTTAGCGATTCTTAAACAAGTGGCATTCATACCAGTACTGAAAAATATATGAGTTTGTTTGTTATCAATTATAAGGGCTCTTATTAATTCTCCATAAATAGGATAGACTAAACCCGTTTGACCAATATCCAGCGATTCATAAAACACGCAGTCCATAAGTTAGCCACCCTGAATAGATAAAACAGTTGTAGGTACTAATAAAAAATTGCATATCTCCTCAATAAGTTGTTGGCTGTCACGTTAAAACAGATGAGTACTAAGTTCTAGTCTTTGTACTAAAATTAGCATAATTTGGCGATATGGATGTTCATGTATATTATGTAACTGTGTATGCTTTCTGCGAAATCAATCATGTAGGGCAAATTTATGGTCAAATAAGAATAGTACAGAAAAGATGGTGACTATTAAAAAATGTGAATAAAACAAATATACTTTTTTATCCAAACCGTAACTGCTACCTTGACCTGAAGGTCGGGCTTGTCTATCGTGATCACCCGACCGAGCTATATTGGTTGGAACACATGTTCCTGTAAGTTCTAGCATGCTAGGCAGGTCGATTGGATAACGATGAGACTAAAACCAGTACTCAAGGTCTTAGGGCGAAGTCGTACTGCTGACTGTAGAGGAGTGTGACAGGAGTAAGGTATTTCGCTCGGACAACCAGCATCTGTAGCGACGCTGCTTTCTCACAAGGAATGAAATGTCACAACCTCACCTACCTCACGGATTTCCATCTCCGCGTGAAAGGCCTTTCAAACAAGACGGAGGCTAAAACTTGGACAACTTTTTCTTATAAAATGCAGTGCGTGATCTTTCCGACCTCAAGAGCAGTTGCCCCACTTCGGGCTCTGCCGTCACGCTCCCAGGTCTCTGACACC